TTTTTTTTTTTTTTTTTATGTCTGTTGCCACTTTTTCTCAGCTCTCACTGGACCGATTTATTTCAATAATATGTCAAAAGATCACAAATCGTATCTAGTTGAAGACATTACCCTTAAAAATTGAAAAATGTCCCCTCGTTCCCCGCAAAGGGGGGAAATATCCAAAAAATTTACAAATTTAAAAATCGTTAAATTTTGTCATTTTTTTCACTTTTTTTTCTTAAAACTTCCATAACTTTTTCAAATATTAACAAATCAAAATAATATTTCTTTATATTGAAACTTTTGGTAATTTTCTTTCGTTTAATATCATTTTTTTTTGAAAATCTAACACTTAGTCTGCTCACAAGGTGGATTTAAAATAGCAACTTTTTTACAATAATTAACTTTTTCAACTTTATTTTTGAATATGTTCCGGAAATACTGTGTCCTTTAAACATATATCAAATTAAAGCTTATGTCATGCACTATAAAATTTAAAAAAAAAATTTGTCCCGACGACCTATCTTCTATGCGGAAATGTCTACCGTATTCAAAAAGATGCTATTTTTCTATTAAAATTCTAGGTTTTGTATTTTATTTTATTTTAAAATNCTACCGTATTCAAAAATATGCTATTTTTCTATTAAAATTCTAGGTTTTGTATTTTATTTTATTTTAAAATATCTTATTAGGAGAATACATGGTGAAAATAGCTACCGTATTTAAAAATATGCTATTATTGTGTTAAAATTCTTGGTTTTGTATTTTATTTTATTATAAGGGGATTACACTGATTTTCATAAATATTATATCAATCTAAATGTAATAGTATAAAAAATTAATCTAATTTAAATTTTTTTGTTTCTTTGAAGTTGATAAAAATAACTTTAAAATTTGAACTCGCTAAATTTCCATTTTTATTAAGTGACGAATGAGACGTATGGTTTTTGAGACGGTAACACTTGGGTCTTTCACGACTTTGGCACTGAATTTTTTTTTAATTCTTTTTGAGTTAAAAAAAAATGTTTAACTCATTTGATTTTTATTTCATTTAGATTCAATAACTTCAATAAATATCAAGGATTACATTACTGTAGTCTCCTCTCGTGAGAAGAAATTCATATTAATATTAATTTACTATGTGTTTTTTTTTTGTAGCTATCATTTATTTCTCGGCTCTCATTTGACCTACTTTTTTTTTTACTTATATTTAGAAAAATTAATTTTTTTTATTAAAAATTTATTATTTCATAAATATACTTAAATTATGTATATATTATATATTGTGTGAATTATTGTGACAATTGAATTCCTCTAGTGAAACTGTCGTTGGGGCAACTTTTTTTATTCTTATAGTATATTTCAAAAACTTTAATTTAATATAAATTTGAAGGACGCAGTCGTTCCAGAATATTTTCAAAAATTGTGTCAAAAAAAAAATTAATATGCGTTGATGATTATCATAAAAGCATAGCCGATGAAAAACTATTTTACCTAAGATACTCTATTGAAATTTCATTAGAATCAGTGTTTTTAAAAGTAAGTTATAGCATTTATTAGATGAAGAAATTTTTTTTTAAATCGTAGTTTTTTACAAAAGCGTAATCGAGAGATATTTGTCTAAATTTCTGAATTAAGGGTTTTTTTTCATTATTTAGTGACTCTAAGGTTGTTCACTGCTTTGGCTGTTTTAAAAAATTATACAAAAAAAAAAAAGAGGAAT